ACTCCAAGGAAGAAAAGCCGCATTATCGTTCAGATGTTAATGTTATATATAATCATACGTAACTGCAGGTTATGGGAAGGGGCTACTCCTTATGTGTTTCCAGCAATTTCGTATATTATAAACAGCCGATATAATGAGTACCAGTTTTTCCTCACTTCTATAAACGAGGATGCACTGTTCGTTGCCCAAGTTCGACAAGCAGAGCTGCTAAATGGAACAACATTCTTTCCAATTTCAGGCTGAGAATGTTAAGCAGGCTATTTGGGAAAGTGAGTGGGTGGGGGCACCCATTTCGCAACAGCACACCCTCAAATTCATGATGGCTGCAGCAAACAGGGAGTTTGCCCTCACAGCAGGTGGCTTCGCCCCTTTGACACGACGCAGTTTGGTCATGGTGAGTCATGAGCAACAATTACTTGGTGTGAGAAGTTAGGCCGTATTACGATCTAAAATTTTTCAAAACTCCATGGGCGACAAGAGTTGTACTTGGCAAAAAAATATAATATTACATGATGTTTTGTGTGGGTGTGAAATCTGGACCCTTACAGAAAACCAAGAAAATAAATTCTGGGTACTTGATAGCAGAGTGGTGAGTAGCATATCTCGGCGTAAGACGGAGATTGTGACAAAAGAATGGTGAAAACTGTATAATAAGGAGCTTCATAATCTGAACTCTTCAAAAAAATATTACAACTGTGACTAAATTACGTAAAATTGAACGGGCCTGGCATGTAGCACGAATGGGAATGACGAACACTTCGTACAGTACCGTGACATGTAGACCAATTGGCAAGTAATAGTTGTGTAAACACGCGACACTAAAGAATTGAAGAATCGTTTTATATGTGGTCCGTGCCGAGGATCGGCGTCGACCTGTATATTATTTATATATATTTTTAATCAGTTTAACATCTAAAATCTTTTACATTATGATAAATGACTTACTACTGCACAAAAGACAGACCTGTACTACAGTTAGACAGGGCGCCACACAATAACAAGGCTGTAACTTTCAAAGAGGAATAAATACCTCGTCATGAGCCCCACATGGGGCTTGACACCAAGATTGACTGACTGACCGTCAGTCGGAATGTGACTGGCTTTGACTAGGACACAGTCCTGAGATGGCAGTTAGAAGAGTAGGAGGTTGGTGTGAGATAGCCGTCAGCCTGCGAGGACGTGAGCTCGGAAGCAGAGGAACATCCACTCTTGAAAGACGTTACGAAGCACAGCAGTGAAGATCGTGACACTACTCTTTGTGTGACAGTCATCTCTAAACCGCGTCTCTAGTCACACCACGTAACAATATTATGGCTGGAGGTGTAGGAGATCTTGGTATTGGTATTTAGAAAAGGTTGTGTGAGGGTGTGAGCTGGATTCATCTGGCTTGACATAAGGTCTAGTGGCAGGTTCTTCTGAACAAGGAAATGAGCCTTCGGGTACAATAAAATGGTTGGGATTTCTTACCAAATTGAGCAACTATTACAGTACAAAGAGTTTTGCTCAAATGAGTAAGATGACTGTTCTTAGGGAAATACAGATAGGAAAGGAACACTCTTCTGTTGCGATTTACGTGCGCCAGCTAATTAGTTTCTGAATCTATTTCAGATCCTTATTGTTCTGTTGCAGGTTCTGAACCAAACCATGTCGTACGTCATGTTCCTCATCAACTTCAGAGAAGATCCTGGCCAAACGTATGTAGCACCATGAAGGCCACTGAATGGGGCAATCGGGTTGCACCTTCGTTCCACCGCGCAAACGCAGAGTAGCCCATCCAATTAGGCTGATCAAATGATCAGAAATTATTTTACTGCACACAAAAAGAGAAATTTCTCCTCATGTGTCACATTAAATCGATATGCGCACTTACTGCACATGCGCGTAACCATTTAGGGTAAAGTAGCTTCAGCCGCAGCGTAGATTCCCTTTCTCTGGTTCAGAGGTAAAGGTAAAGTTGTCCCTGTACTTAATTAGTTAGGCACCACGCCATGAAGGCGTATGGGGAAGGAGAAGTATAGCTTCACATTTCTTGACTTCGACACTAGATGGAGGTTACTGCTCAATTCCACGCTCTGGTCGCTTTATCCCAGGCGAAATATGTACTTCTTAGACAGGAGCTTGGATGGGTCCCAGAGCGAGCCTGGACACTGTGGAGTAGAGAAAAATCGCATACTTCTACCAGGAATCGAACCCAGGCAGTTCAGTCAGTTGATATACCGACTGAACAACTCCGGTTCCCTTAAATTATTCAGATTTAAAGATTTTCGGGGGTATAGACAATAATTTTCCAATATTTCCCCGGAGGAACATCCAGAACTGTTAAATCACACGTTCCAGGCAGTCAACGCAACTGCCCCATTTCTGCCTGTCCATTTGTACTGAAATCTTGCATTTAGTGAAATGTGGGGAACACGCCCCTCCTGGAGTGGAGGTACAATGTTGCCACATTTACTTCCGCATTATTATTGAAATCCATGCAATTATCTTAGGGAGACCCCATATAATCCGTGCTACTAGAAATCACTCAATAAGCTGTAAACAATATAATACCATCTAATATATGACGCCGTATATGTGACGACGTATCAACGTATCCGACTTCCACCCTGAAGATGGAGGCAGTTGGTATCCACCTGTGACTTCACTGTACCACAAATCAGAAGACCAATACATGAACCTTCACTGCGCACTAATCGATTTAATTACATGCTTATAGTACAGCTATCCACGCCATGAAGATGTAAGGAGGAGTGGAGGTATGGCTCTACGCTTTCTTATCCTGTGCCATGGATGGAGGTGAGTGGTCAGCTTTATGCTTTGCCCTGGAGAAACAAGCTCCGGTACGAGGTTCTCAACGCTCTACCCCACTGGGAATCGAACCCGAATTCTTCTGAAATCCAGCTTGTAGCCTAGACTCTCTACTAACGGACGTATAACACCACTCTCCTAGAAAATATGTAGTAACTATCTACTGAAATAAATCAGAAATTCTGAGCAATGTTCCAAATTTGTTCTTCCACAATCAGTTTAATGAATGTGGTACTATTCCTGATGCAGAATTGCATCATCCTTTACACAGAATGCCCCAGGATGAAAGGTCAATATTCAAGGAGGTCACAGTATCGGTCATTCTAAGCAAAAAGAGTGTATATGTACATCTGTCCTATTCCGAACGGTTTCCGGGACAGAGCTATTTCACGGCACTGTACACTGTACAGACGAGCAACACGCCATGTCCTCACACGAGTTGCACCGAGATAGAGCTATTTCACGGCACTGTGCACTGTACAGACAGCAACACGCCATGTCCTCACACAAGTTGCAAAGTGCATTGATGTTGACGGTGGAATTTTCGAAAATGTATTAAACTAGGCAAACTGTACCAACTTTCTCACTTGAACAATAAATACCGGTATTAGAAACAGTACGTAATGTCTCTTTCTTATAAACAGCTTTGGAACTGCACAGTGAAATAGCTCTATCTCGGAAACCGCTCGGAGTAGGACACATGTACATGTACACTTGTTTGCTTAGAATGACCGATACTATGACCTCCCAGAATATTGACATTTCCTCCTGGGACATTCTGTATATAAAATCCTTTCATATATCCAACTGCCGCAATTTCTTTCTCCCTGATATAGTTGCTAGGCGGCCGTAATCAGTTTTATTAAGGAAAAGAAGTTTATGTAAGTTTTGAGGATTTCACGGCGATGACTACNGCCTACTTCATATATAAACTAGCGCTTTTAACTTCCCAATCATTGCAGCTACTGCTCTCTGTATTCGCAACGCAATTCAACTGCCCTGAAGATGGAGGCGATATGTTCCTCCGAAACGTCGGTTAAAACCAAGAATACACGGCGCCAGATCCCAGAAGACGACTTTCTTCAAAAGCGGTTTATGTTCACCGCTTTCTGTCCCTGTGACAACAGATGCCAGACATGAAATATCACCATTCTGTCGATTCCACAAAAATCTCGTCTCCAAGCGGATTACGTGACTGTTCCTTTAAGTCACACTGGCTACTATACACTACTGTTTTAACAATCAAAGTTTCTGCGCTCTGCCCACAGGGTGTATTTGTGTGTTCTGTAAGGTTCTCACAAGAAACAGCGATACAATCATCCCTGGGCTTAAGTAATTAACCGCCATGCTGTGAAGACGTATAGGGGAGAGGAAGTATGGCTCCCCATTCTTAACCTTGACACTAGATAGAAGCAAGCGATCAAATTCACGCCCCGGCCATTTTACTCCGTGGGAAACAGGTCCCCATATCGATTGTACAGCAGGCTCGGCGAGTTCCAGGGCCGGTTTGTACTTATGGAGAAGAGAAAAATATCTTGCCCTTGCAGGGAATCGAACCCCCGGCTCCCTGATCGTCCAGTAGCCTAGTCTCTATACGGACTGAGCTATCATAGCTCCCTTATTTTCTGCGTATGTGTTAACATTTAAATGCTATACAAATTAACGGGGAGCCGGGATAGTGCAGTCGGTATAGCGACTGGCTACAGGCTGGAAGGCCGAGGGGTCGGAGTTCGAGTCCCGGTAGGGTAGCGCAGTCGGTATAGCGACTGGCTACCGGCTGGAAGGCCGAGGGGTCTGAGTTCAAGTCCCAGTAGGGTCAAGATTTTCTACTTTCCACGTTGTCCGGACCGGTTCTGGGGCCCACACAGCCTCCTATACAATGGGTACCGGTAGATCTTTCCCGGGGGTAACGCGGCCGGGACGTGAAGCTGACCACTATCCTCCAGCTAGTGCCAAGGTCAAGAATACGTGGATCTCAACATCCATGATGATCAGCTGCATGACATATGGCGTGGTGGTATTTTATTTAGAAAATCACCACGTATCACACCCCAAGCAACAAAAGGGTTTATCATTAGTTGCGTCTTGGGGTCAGAATGCATTATGGCAAATAGACGTTTCACACCTGCGATGTCACGTCACAGCCTGTACTTCCCCTCTGCCGACACTTCCGCCAACGGGAACAGCGGACACTGATAAACTCTACAAGGGGACAATGGAACGAGGAGCCGCTGTAGCGAGGCCAACAGTTGGACTGGACTTCTGCTACAGCAGTCAGTAAGTACTAACTTTGCAGTTGCAGACTCCAACTAACATACTAACTAAATCCATGGAGCCCGCAGAGACAGGGTAAGCTCGGATCGGAAGGTGATTAATGAATGTGAAGCGATTTGTTTCATTCTCGTCCGTCACACTAGTAAATATTTTTTTCCTTGGCACTACAGCCCCAGTGGGCCTAGGCCTACCTCCATGAATTTCTCCGTTCACTTCGGTTTTTCTAGATCTTACACATTCGGTAGGACTCCTTGGGCGGGTGATCAGCTCGTCGCAAGGCCTCTACCTGTACACAAACACAGAAAAACACACACACACAAACTAAACATCCGTGCCCTGAGTGGGATTCGAACCCGCGATCCCAGTTTCCATGCGAGCGAAGACAGTACATGCCTTAGACCGCTTGGCTACCGTGACCGGCCACACTAGTAATTACATTAGTAATAACATCACAGCGCGCCACAAACACAAACAGGACAACATCAAAGAACCCCCTTCTCGAGAACAAGGGGGCACACTTTCGGCCCCCGTCAAGAGAAATAAGAGGGACGACACGAACCTGCTTGGTTTACGAATTCCAACAGAGTCTTAACAAACCAATTACAAGTATTTTAATGTATTGGAACAGCCGCTGTGGTTGTAAAGACTTTAGATTTTATACCCAATTGTATATTATTAATATTGTATGTATACATTTTAACGTTCAGAACATGTATTGTAATAGTAACTTCCAGCTGTATTGATGTAAAGGTGTCCTTCTGATGATGGTCTCTGAAGACCGAAACATGTAAGGGCATAAATAATTGAAATAAGAAAAATCTTCACCAGTCGCACTGGATGGAACTGTTTAACTCTTCATGAATGCGAAGCGGTTGGTGTAATTAGTCCTTCTTGAGAAGCTAACAGTTACTCAGCCACTAAACAAGTTCCCAACATTTACGGAACACCGAAGATTCATTACAGTGTTCATAGGAGCTTGCTACTGGTCCCCATTCTGAGCCAGATCAATCCAATCCGTACCATGCCGTCCTATCTCTCTAACGTCCATTTTAATATTATCCAATCACCTACGTTTTGATCTTCCTAGTGGTCTCTTTCCTTCTGGCTTTCCCACTAATGTTCTAAATGCATTCTTCTTCGCCCCCTTTAGTGCTACATACCCCGCCCATCTCATCCTCACTGCCTTGAACACTCTAATTATACTTAGCGAAGTGCACAAGTTATGAAGCTCCTCATTATGCAGTTTTCTCCAACCTCCCGTCACATCATCCCTCTTCGGTCCAAATATTCTCCTCAGCACCCTGTTTTCAAACACCTTCAGTCTATGTCCCTCCCTTAATGCCAGAGACCAAATTTCACACCCATATAGAAACTCACGCATTCCTTTGATCCAATAATTTTGAGCATCCTTCGTCGAACCATTGGTTATACTTGTTCAATTCATAACAACCTACACTCCCTTTGGAGTAAATTGTTATATTCTCTTTAACAGTTACCCAAGCTCTATTAATATCCACCTAAATGTCTAGTTTTCCAAAGCAACGAACCTATTTGAGATTTCAACACGATACTGCTCTTTACCCTCTGCCTCGTTTAATTTCTTGAGATTGAACCTCGCCATATGAACTGTGTGTGATGTTTGTTTGCTCACTGCCAGTCTTTCCCTTACCTCTGCCACCACCAGGTAGTGGTCAGTATCACAATCTGCTGACCTGAATGATCGGACATCAAGTATACTTGAATGCCATCTCCCATCTATCAAAATACGATCAATTTGATTGTGCGTCTTCCCATTAGATGTCCAATTAATTTTATGAAGACATATTTCATAAATAAATAAGGTAAGGTAAATTTGTCCCTGTGCTTAACTAATTAAGCACTACGCCATTAAGGCGCATGGAGGAGTGGTTGTACAGAGCCAATGAGTGGTCAGCTTCAGGCCCCGGCCACTTTAACCCCGGGAAAAAGCCCCCGGTACCCATTGGGTAGGAGGTTGGGTGGACCCCGGAGCCGGTCTGAACGACATGGAGAAGAGAAAATTCTTAACCCTACTGGGACTCGAACTCCGACCCTTCGATTATCCAGCCCGTAGCCAGTCGCTTACCGATTACTCTATCCCGGTTCCATAAACAAAAAAACAAGTAAATAAAGGTAAAGTTGAAAATGTTTATCTTCTGGGATATAACGCCGTGTAGTCCGTTGAAAATCAACGTGTCGGAGGAACATGTCGCCTCCATCTTGAAGGGTGAAGAACAAGCCAAGCCGGAAGTCACAGTGACAGTAGGTGGCAAGCACAGAGGGGAAGTAGTCCCTGCGCTTTATGAGTATATGTGGGGAAGTTTCGAGCTATTAACCTTGACACCACAAAGTGAGTGGTCAGCTTCAAGTACCGGCCGCTTTAGCCCCCCAGTACCCATTGTATACAAGGTTTGTTAGACTCCAGAGCTAGACTGGACGCTGTGAAAAGAAATGCCTGTGACCCTACCGGGAATCGAACGCCAATTCCCCTGTCACCCAGCCAGAAGCTTAGTCACTTACTGAGCCACATCGCCTCTAATTTTATTTATTTAGACCTATTTATTTATAAATACATAAACAAGCCACGTTTACGTTTACGAAAACATCTCTTGCCTTCATTGTTTCCCATACCTCAGAATCGTGTTACATGTCCAGCCCCTCTCATCCATGATTTTTTCGCCGTTATAATATTTGTTAGAGAACAAAAATTATGAAGTTCCTCATTATGCAATTTTCTCCGGCCACCGATCACTTCTTTCCCCTGCTAGGTAAAAAATATTGCCCTCAACATGTTCTCAAACACTTACAACCTGCGTCATTCGTTTTGGGCGAGAGACCTACTTTCACGCCCACACAAAACGTCATGTAAAATTATACTTTGCGCCAAGTAAAATACTTTTTCCTTGAGATGTTTCAAGCTTCTGGTTCCTTAAGGTAAGACAAAACAGCAAAAATTCCTTTAACGATTTAATGCATAAAATTCAGCTGAATAATATTTAAAAAGTAAGTTCCTACCTCACAAAAACACACTACGTTTCCATTACAAATACCAAACAAATAATTCTGCTTACAGAAATAATGGCTACCTAATTCAAAGGATTGTATGAAATCTAAAAGTATTCTCTGTGGACAAAATAAATGATTTCTTAATATTAAACGAGGTGTTAAATATCGTAACCACTTTGCTGCATAGGGTAAGTGCCCATTAATTTATGCGTCCTCTAAGTGGCCCTGTATGTTTTTCAGTTCGCCATTTTCCACGATGTCAAGGGCCGTCATGTTGTTCAGTGTTGCCACTCTGACGGTGGCAACTACACTAAAGGAAGTTTCCACCAGCAGACCGATTTGTCATGAGGCGGGGAAAGAGGTAAGTATGGACTGAGTAAGCAATGAAAAAATTATCAAATTATAAAGTATCTGAGAACAGTGTGGTCGCATTTTACGCGAGGATGCTTTCCTGAAGACCACGCATAATTCAAGGCAAGTAAAGTGATACTATACTGCCACGTGACTGAGTGTCTGTAGAAGGGGTTTGGATTGGTAATCAGATTCATTTGAAACTTACATTCGTAACTACAAATAACTACGACAGTCTCACTGAGTTACACAATCCAAAGGTCACTGTAACTACAGCACACATGAAGCCTTCTCAGTCTTCACTAGCCGTTGCTTGGTAGTGGCTGTCAACGGCGAACGTTCCCTTTCCTCTGGGTTCCCGAACTATCCCCACCGTCTGCTACCAGCTTATCACTTCTCACAACTGCGACTCGCAACTCACACAACCAACTGAAGTAAAAATTATGTTAGGACCGTCGGTCAGTCGGCGAATCTGCCTTGGTGTCAAGACCCCATCTGGGGCCCAAGACAAGATTTTTATTACTGAGGGATATTTGCTGGGCTGTTGATGTGGAGCGCCCTCTCTCAAGAGAGGGCGGGTCTGTCGTTTACAATTGCTGCTGGCCCTCGCCATGGCACTCAATCTAGGATCCGAGCCCCGCGGGACTCAACCATATTTTCCTGTCTCAGATTCGACACTCCCCGAACCTGGACGGCCAGACACTTCAGGTTGGGGGAGTCTCGAATCTGAGACAGGATTTTCAAAGCAGATCATGCCTATCTTACGTATCTTATGCTACAACGGCAGCTGAGTCGCTTGAACGGTCGTAAGCTTGACCACCGTCAAGTTTAAGCCTCTGTATATGAGACAGTACTACTAGCCCCGGCACGGACCGCACTGAAAAAGTCTCTTCCATTATTGCGTGCTCTCTAGTTGCCCGGGGGGAAAAAACGTGCTCCCTAGCAATGGCTGTTGTACTGTTGCCTGTTATTTGGCAATGGTTCTGCATGTCACAGTATGATTACCATAGTACAGCCCATGCTCACAATGAAATCCGTGACATATGTTGCAGTGCCCTGCATCTCCAAACTTCTGCTGTAACGGCTGCTGTAGAAATGGTGTCTGCACAACATGTAAGTAGCTTATTAGAATTCAACAGAACTAAGCATTTTGATGACTGTTCTAACGACAGTCATCCATTATTCAGATTGTAGTCATCTATGATATGATACCATGTATCGCGGTAGACGATTGNTATGCAATTTCGGGCTACCATAGCAACGAGAAGTCAACCGTTAACACGTTGCACACTATGCAGTAAATTACAAAGGATCGAGAAGTCAGTCTTTAGTTTCGGTGTATCGGGTATATCGTGTGAGTATTAGTATTTGTAATATTTTGGTATGGTTATATTAAGTGCAGTATAATGCCATGTGTACGGGGGGTATGCGTGGCGAAAATGACGGGTTCTATGTCGGATGAATGGCTTTATTAGGCTTTTCTATTAACAATTACACTTGACTACAGCAGTTCAAACATAGCGAATCTCTCACTGTTGTCTGGATCTTGCACTGGTGTCTAGCCTCTAGTCTTTTCCTCCCGTTTGCATCTCGTTGGAACTCCGCACTCAACAAATCCTTTTTTTTTTCGGTTCTTTCAATATTTAATCTCTTCTCTTTCTGTATTCTGATCACTTCTCTCGGCCTGGATATTAAACACTCCGCGCAACGGTACACGTCTTCGATTTTGCGGTTATCACCGAAACGTGTCTTTCTTTGCTGTGTGAACAAACTTTACCTGTCCGTTGCAACGAAAACACTTCTGTGCGCGTTGCCTAGGAATCGATGTCTATGTCATAACCTCGGAGACGTGTTTCAACAAGCCGTTACCTAGCAATGGATTTAAATGTCACAGTACCATATAAAAAATACGAGTAATAGTAAGTAATCCCAGCAAGCTGGGCTGAGCCTCTCCGCTTGCGGCCTGATTTACATGCTCTTCGGTGGCTGCGTCATAGCTCAAGCGGTTAGTCTCTGGTTTCCCACCGCGGTGGCCCGGGTTCCATCCCGAGTCTGGTTAAGTGGGATTTGTGGTGGACAAAGTGGCGCTGGGGCAGGTTTTCTCCGCGTACTTCGGTTTCCCCTGCCAATCTTCATTCCACCAATTGCTCCACAATCACCCTCTCCTGTCATCTGGGGCTGGTACAATAGGCCAGAAGTGGCCGCAGTACAAGGGACTTAGTCCCACCCTACTAGCAATAAAAAAATACATGCTCTTCAACCCTGAAAAAGGAAGCGGTATCTTCCTTCGAAGCGTCAGTGATATTCTACCCGACTACATGACATCACATTCAAAAGATAGTACTGTTCACAGTGAGGCTGTGAGAATTTCAAATCCAAAACACATTCTTTATTTCTTCAAAGAAATTTACCCAGTCACATGGCTCATGCTGCGCTGAACAGCAGGAAGATAATATAATTATCGATTTGATATGATCTGGAAGAAATCAGCTGAGTTCAGATAACTCATTCAGTATAGTGACTAGACTACGGACTGGACGATCGAGGAATCAGGGTTCGATTTCCAACAGACTCACAGAGTTTCCACTCCGCTACAGAATCGAGAAAGGGCCTAGGGTTAACCTACTCTCCTATACCAGGGATAAAGCAGCCGGTGTGTAAGGCTGACCACTGACCTCCATCTAATGCAGAGGATAATACTGTGTGGAGCTATACCTCCATAGATTTAATGATATTGTGCATAATTATTAGCGCAGCCTCTGTGGTCTAGAGGTCAGAGTTCCTGGCTACAGATCTCGAGGTCCCGGGTTCGATTCCCGGCGCTACCAGATTTTCTGTGAAGTAGTGGGTCTCGAACGGGGTCCACTCAGCCTCGTGAGCATAACTGAGAAGCTATTTGAATGGAAAAGTAGTGGCTCCGGTCTAGAAAACCGAGATTAACGGCCGTGGGGATCCGTTGCCCTGACCACGCGACACCCTCTATCCGCTAAAATTGGCACTAACTTCGCTGTTAAGGGGCGGTCGCTCGATCGGTATAGTTCGCTTGCAGAATAAGGGGCACGGAGTTTGTTTTTAGTTTGTGCATAATTATTAGCATTGGGACAACTTCAAATCGGTCGTGGTCCGTTTTGAATTACTCTCCCGTAATTTATATGTAATAACTGAGGAATAACACGAAAACTATCAGTTGGAATAGCCGATCACGTAACAGAGATTCGATTCCGGACCCGTTGAATAAGGAACAGGACTGCCAACTGCTGACAAGCGTATTCAGTGTGACAAAATCTCTAGTACGTAATGTATTCTATATGGTATATAGTATATGGTATATGATGCACGGAATTTCTTGTTAATCGTCAAAGAATTTGGCCCGGTTGTCGTTCAATCCACGAGATAATTTCCTGAACCTACATGGTCAAGATGGGGAGATAATCATTAATTAACCAACTACAAAGAAAGATAATCTCTTTTCAATGAAGAACCGCCATTACGCAGACCTCCTCCTTAAACGCTAGGGCCTAATTAGCATTTCTCTCACAAAAGTTTCGGTAGTACCATCCCATCGTTTCTTTGTTTTCAGATGACGACGATCCTGAATACTGCGCCAACAATCCTTGCGCCATTGAGTACTGTCCCCAGGGACAGGAATGTCACGTCGCAGCTCAGCTAGAGTGCTCTCGACCGCCCTGTAGGAAGTCCACGTCGTGTAAACCCAAAGCATAGCAGCACGAAGATCAGTGTCAATGCATGATAGCTTATGGTTTAAAACTTTACAGGACACTGGTAACTACATAGTATATGTACCACGTCCAACGTTTATAAGTACTTTTTAAGGGAATAAAATTGTCAGAGTCAAAGTCAGAGCTACTTTACCATTAGCAGTTTACTGCCAATCAGTTCGTCTTGGCGTCAGGCCCCTTGACACCCACGACCAGAGACGTTTTTCCCCCCCAACTGCACTCTTGCAACGCAGTTTCCTCAATTTGCGCTGCCGCATTTAGTAACATGTGTTCAGGCCGTGCAATAGCTCAAGCGGTTAGACGCTGGCTTTCCAACGCGGTGGCCAGTGTTCGATCCCGGGTCTGGTCAAGTGGGATTTGTGGTGGACAAAGTGGGGCTGGGGCAGGTTCTCTTTGAGTACTTCGGTTTCACCTGTCAATCTTCATTCCACCAATTGCTCCACAATCACCCTCACCTATCATCTGGGGCCGGCCGCAGTACAAGGGATTTAGTCCCACCGCACTAGCAATAAAAAAATGTATTCAACTCAGGCTCATAACAATTCTCGGAAATTGCGGTTGCGTTGCGGTTACCAGTTTCCTTGGTGTGCCCTCGACCTAAGGGTGGCGAAGCAGTTGGTGAAATATGAGAAGCTTACCCTGGACGGAAAGCAGATCTGAACCTCAACCAGGATACAGAGTGAGCCTGAAATACACGCGACATTTAATAACACAGACTATGACTGACAAAAGACAGACCAGAACTCTCGTCAGGACAGGACAGTATCTTTCATATAAAGAAAAAACAAATCNCTGGCCATAAGCCCCAGTCGGGGCTCGACACCAAGACAGACAGACTGACTGACCGTCAGTCGCAATGTGACTTTGACTTTGACTTTGATTCAGGAGTAGTGAGGATTGAGCCAGTTACGAAAAGTGAGTAACGGTTAACGAATCTGTTTCAATCTAGCAGTCGCCGAGTCGGGTTTTGTCGAGTACATGGCAGTGACTACAAGAGAAGTCCTTGTGATACTGCAGATGGCAGTAGTTGGGAAATTGTGAATTGTGTAAATGTAAGACAAAGAGAGGAAGTTATTATTTATTTCTCTCGTGACATACACCCATCACGTGACAATATCATAAACCAAATATGGTTTAGATGACATTTCACCACACCTCAAAACTTCTGGACCTGAAGGAATTAATACATATTTCTAATTTCATTCGTTGTAGTAAGCATAACATTCATATACACAAATAATAATATTGTAACGTGTTTGGAGTAGATATTTCCATGGTAAAACAACAACAGTGGGGCCGTTGCCTGGAGAAAACAAAGGCGTTTCCTTGGAGACGTTGCATGACAACAGAAGGTTCATTGCGTAGCAACAGCCCATTTATTCAATCATTGCCTTAGGCTGTCCCATTTTCCAAGTCCTTGGAAGGAAGCAAAACTCATAACCTTACCGAAATCCGGTAAGGACCCAAAATTTGCTCAAAATTTACGTCCGATTAGCCTCCTATCCACAACAGGAAAACTATCCCTGAAAGTATTCTGAAAAATATTCCAAAAGCACATTGAAGAAAGAGGTCTGCTTAACGCAGGCCAGCTTGGTTTCCGTGAACGTCACAGCAAGACACTGCAATGTATGAGGCTAACAGACCACGTGGCCCTTAATTTCAATAATAAAATGTCTATGGCTGCGGCGTTCTTGGACATCGAAAAAGCCTTTGATACTACATGGCACTCGGGCTTGCTATATAAGTTGTCAAACCTGGAATTTTAGACCAGCTTAATCAAGCATACTGCATCATTTCTTTTACAAAGAAAATTCAGTGTTTCGGTGGAAGGAGAAATATCTAAGCCAAGGGAAATGCAAGCAGGGGTGCCACAAGTTCGGTCCTGTCCCCTACTCTTATCAGTATGTACATAAATGATGCCCCCTAAACAGATGGCTTTCAACTAGCCCTCTTTGCAGATGACACCTGTCTGTATGCGATAGATCGCAAAGAGCGTTCTGTGGTTAGAAAACTGCAGCGCGGTCTCAGCTCAATGGAGACCTGGTGTGAGCGCAGGAATATAAAAAATAATGAACATAAGACTCAGGGGATCTACTTCTCTCGCTGTCGTCGGCCGCCTATGTCTCGTCTTACTTTGAATGGAAGATATTTGTAAATTGTGTAAAATATCTCAGAGTAATCTTTGATAGGAGGGTTACATGGAGGTTACACATACAAATGATCGAAGCAAAGGCCTTCATAACATTTATAAAATTTTACCCCTATTCAAAAGTGAGCGATTAAGCGCTAACAATAAGCTGATCCTCCACAAAGCTCTCATTAGATCTGTAATGACTTATGCTAGTCCCGCCTGGGAATTCGCGGCAGACACTCATCTAGTGAGATTGCAACGCCTGCAAAACAAGGTTCTCCGCACCACTGGCAATTTTCCAAGGCACACACCGGTTCGCGATTATATAACAAAATTATGCAGGGAACAAGCGGAAGTCATACAAAATCATGGCAATGAAAATGTTCGCAATATTGGACAAGGAGAAGCCCCACATAGAAAGTATAAGAGGCTTAACTTGGCCCGTGCAAGTGACTAGACTGCTGTGGTAGCAAATACTTATAGAAATAGGGCTTAGTCTGCTGTACTGAGCCTGGACTGACAGAGGCCTTGTATATATTGTACATAGAATTAGAAATTAAGATTAAATTTGTAAATACATGTAAATACTGACAATGGTCTTACTAATACAGGCTATGACTGACGAATGACAGACCCGACCTCTCGTCAGAGAGGGCGCCCCAAATGGACAGGACAGTAACTTTCATATAAGAAGAAACATCTTCTCATGAGCCCTAACCATCAGTCGCAATGTGACTCTGACCTTGAGACCAGGCAGTTCTTAGGATAGTGGCGAGAAGAGCACAAGCCAGCTCACACCAGAGGAAGGGAATAGAAGTCTTCACCGAGATTAGCGGTGCAAGACGTATTACAACAGTGAATTAGGGGATAATAATCGTACTTGTACATGTGTAAATGTGTAAAAGTGTGGGTTCAATAAATAATCACTGAATCCGAAACCTACGGGAAATTTTTTGTCGCGTTACCTAGGAGACAGAAGTAGGTTTCCAGCTAACACGCAACAATACTGTAACGTGTTTTGCCACGTTCTGGTTGTTAATTGGTTTATTTAACAACCTACAAGTAAACAGTCGTTGCTAGAGAAACCCTACAACAATATGGACAGTTGCGTGTTTTCTGTATGTATGACTCAAGCTTAAATAAGGAGATATATTGAGTGGGATTTCTTAGTACCAGTTGACTGAATGACTAGCCATCACGCACAAAGTTCCAGTTGAGAATTCCGATTCACTACAACGTTCAAAGTGTTCTTCAGCCAACGATCAGTTCAACAAGCTTTTCTGTCTTCATACATAGACATCCCACACGTGTTATTTTCAAGATGAACATCATGAAGAAGATTTCAGCGAATGTTGTGCTGATAATTTTTACCACCATAGCATTGCAAAAGTTCGGTAAGTGTTTGAAAGATGTATACGTGTATTTCCGCACTCTTACAGTAATTATACGGAGATCAGTCAGTGAATTAGGGGATAATAATCGTACTTGTACATGTGTAAATGT